CGGGCGCGAGTGTGTGAGGGGGCTGTGCCGACCGAGGGCTGCAGAGGGCGAGGGGCCAGGGCCCTGCAGGGACGAGGTCAGCTTTCCCAGGGGCCCCGTGGTGGTTGGACGGGGACCTGGAAGGCCGCATGGCACATCGGGGCCTCTGGAGCCTTCCCGGGGGCGCTCCTGCCTCCAGGAGTGAGTCCCAGCCCGGAGGGCATTGGGACGGGAGGACACGGGCCCCATGTGCCTTCCGCAAGCTGCCCGCCACCACACACCGTCCTGGCTGGGCCTTGGGCTGGTCCAGCCCTGAGCTCCCATTTGTACAGGCGGCCAGGCCTGTCCGCTGCCCCAGCGCCGCCGACAGCAGTGGGCTCTGCATGCGGCCAGCAGGCTGCCCCACCTGTCCCCCCCCCCAGCCCACAGCCGGGCCCTCCCTGCTGTGGCACCAAGACAGGGCTGTGGGGCCAGAAAGGTGCTGATCGCAGGGTCACACGGGGAGAGAGTCCCCTCCGAGCTCTGAGCCCTTCCCACAATGCCAGTGGGCACGGGCCTCGCTGGCTGAGGCCCTCCCCCTCCCCCCGGCGGGCGGGCGTGCACCGCGGGGGGGTCAGGGTGGGCGCCGGGGGGCGGGCGCCGGGGACACGGCGGGGGGTCAGGATGGGCACCGGGGGGCGGGCGTGCACTGCGGGGGGTCGGGGTGGGCGCCGGGGACACGGCCGGGGGTCGGGGTGGGCGCCGGGGACACGGCCGGGGGTCGGGGTGGGCAACGGGGGGCGGGCTCCGGGGACATGGCGGGGGGTCGGGGTGGGCTCCGGGGACACGGCGGGGGGTCGGGGTGGGCACCCGGGGGTGGGCTCCGGGGACATGGCGGGGGGTCGGGGCGGGTGCCGGGGACACGGCGGGAAGCCGGTGGGTGCCCAGGCCTGGGCGCCATGGGGAGGTCGGGGCAGGCTCCGGGGACATGGCGGGAGGTTGGGGCGGGCACCGGGGGTCGGGCACCGGGGACACGGCGGGGGGCCGGTGGCACTGAGGCGCCTCCCCCGCAGGCATCTACATCCTCATCGCTGTGGGCGCCGTCATGATGTTCGTGGGCTTCCTGGGCTGCTACGGGGCCATCCAGGAGTCGCAGTGCCTGCTGGGGACGGTAGGTCGCAGCGGAGGGTGGGGGGGCGGGTGTGGGGGCCCGGGGCTGACGCCCAGGGGAGGGCCAGGAGCCGAGAGGCTGGGCGGGCTCCGGAGCTGGGGCGCCCCGGTGCCCGGTCTGGCCTTGGACGGGTCGGCAGCCGGCACCTTCCCTGAGGCTGTGCTCACGGCCGTGGTAAAGCCACCTGGCTGGCGGCTGCCTGCCTGGGCCCCGAGGCCAGCCCCACGGCTGGTCCATCCGTGTCTCAGAATGCCACAGGGGTCACAGGTGGGGAGCCCTCCCCCAGGTCCCCAGCCTCCGGTGGGGAAACGGGGGCACCAAGGTGACCCCTCCTGCGGGGGAGGGAGGAAGGGGCACCTGTGCTCCTGCCGCCGACCCGGCCTGCCTCCCTGTCCAGCATCCGTTCCTGCAGAGCCTGCCCGGGCCCCGGCTCCATGGGGCCCGCTCCCAGGCCAGCCCCCTCCACACACACTGGTCACTTGGATGTTGGCCATCTGTGGGAGTCCAGCCCCACGCCGCCGCCGCCACTGGACTGGGCCTCGGAGAGCCCTGGGTGGTCCCGGCCTGCCCTGACCCCCCTCTGGCTGCCCTCTGGCCTGACTCCCCTCTGCCCTGACTCCCCCTGCCCTGATCGCTCCCCTGCCCTGACCCCTCTCTGGCCTGATCCCCCTGCCCGAACCCCCCTCTTTGCTCTGATCCCCCTGCCCTGCCCTGGCCCCCCTCTGCCTTGGCCCCCCCTGGCCTGAACCCCCCCCCCCCCCCCGCCCTGACTCCCCTCTCGGCCTCTGCAGTTCTTCACCTGCCTGGTGATCCTCTTTGCCTGTGAGGTGGCTGCCGGAATCTGGGGCTTCGTCAACAAAGACCAGGTGAGCCTGGGCCGTGGGGATGGCAGGGAGGTTGGGGGCAGTCAGACGGCGGGTGATCTCGGGGGAGTGGCCTGGGGACTGGGGCTGGGGCTGGGGCTGGGGCTGGGCCTGGGGGCTGGCTGGAGCCCGGGAGGCCCGGCCCTCACTGGTACCCCCCCTCCACAGATCGCCAAGGACGTGAAGCAGTTCTACGACCAGGCCCTGCAGCAGGCGGTGGTGGACGATGAGGCCAATAACGCCAAGACCGTGGTCAAGACCTTCCATGAGACGGTGCGGTGGGGCGGGCGCTGGGGAAGGGGGGAGCGGGGCGGGGGTAGGGGTGAAGCCTGGCGGGGGCCGAGTCAGGCCTCAGGTCCCACCTCTGTGAGCCAGGGGTGGGGTGGGGGGAGTTGGGGGGTCCTCTGGCACCTGTGACCCAGGGTGGGGATCAGATAGGCCGGGCCGGCCGGGGTGCTGGGTCTCCGAGCAGCAGGGCTGAGCGGGAGGGGAGGGGAGGAGGGGACCTTCGGTCACTGCCGCATGCGGGCTGATGGCCGCCCTCTGTCTCTGCAGCTCAGCTGCTGTGGCTCCGATGCACTGAGCACCCTCACCACCTCCATCCTCAAGAACAACCTGTGTCCCTCGGACAGCTCGCTGCTCAACAACTTGAAGGTGAGGGGCGTGGGCGGCCCACCTGCTCCCAGCCCGCCCTCCAGGGGCCCGGGGTGGCCACACCGGCTGGTGCCAGGCCACAGGGAAGGGACTGTCCACCCGGTTTGGTTCCTGGTGGGGCAGCTCTGACAGCCCTGGCGGGGCGGGCGCCCTGGCCTCCCGGTCAGCGGCCAGGTCCTGCTGCGTGGTCTCCGAGGGGAAGCGGGCGCAGCTCGTTGTTTCAAAATACATTTTATTGATTTGAGAGACAGACAGACAGACATTGATCGGCTGCCTCCTGCCCGCCCCACTGGGGACCGAGCCGGCCACTGGGGCCCGTGTCCTGCCAGGAAATGGAATAGTGACCTGGTTCCGAGGTCCATGCTCAACCCCTGAGCCACTTTGGTTTGAACACATGTCAGATCAAACGTACAGAGACCGGGGCTGAGGGGGTGGGAGTGCAGTGACCCTCCTGCACTGCTGGGGAGCAAGGGCGGAGGCCTGGCACCCCTGACCCCTGACCCCTGACCCCCGCCCCCCCTGCAGGCGAACTGCCACCAGAAGATCGACGACCTGTTCTCGGGGAAGCTGTACCTCATCGGCATCGCGGCCATCGTGGTCGCCGTGATCATGGTGAGCGGGCGGGGGGGGGGGGTGCGGGGGGGGCGCCTTCCCGGCCTCGGGAGCGGGGGAGGGAGGGAGGCGGGTGCTGACGGCCCCCCCCCCCCCCTGCAGATCTTCGAGATGATCCTGAGCATGGTGCTCTGCTGCGGCATCCGGAACAGCTCCGTGTACTGAGGCCCCGCCCACGGCCCGGCTGCCGAGGCCCGGCGCCCGGAGGGCGCGCGGCCGTGTAGATAGCCTCCTGGTATTACTCTGCTACACGTACTAGCTTCTTCACCTTGAGGTTCTGCTCCCCATCACCTTCTGGGGCTGCGATCCCTGTAGGAGGCTCCGGAGCAGGCCTTGGGGACAGCGGGGCATGGTCCCCTCTGCTCTGGGCCACAGGGTGGGGCTCTGCCCGCTCAGCCAGGCCTCTCGGGCCGAGAGCACCTGCCGCCCGCCCGCCCACCCGCCCCCGAAGGCTCCGCCTTTTTTAATCCTCGTCCCCTTCCTGCCCCCGGCCTCGGAGCCGGGTCTGTGAGCAGCCTCTGCCTTCGACACACCTGTCCTTCTAACGCGGCACCTTCCATTGTAACTACATCTCCATTCACTCAATAAAGGAGAGACTAGGCATGCTAACACCCTGTGCCCGCGGCTGCCGCGAGTGTGACATCTGGGGCTGGGGCTCCCCTCGGGGCCTGGCTGGGCCCGGGGGTGCTGCCCACCCTGCTGGGCGGTGGGGGGGGACCGTGGGGAGCGTTCCATGGGGCGCGTTCCATGGGGCAGGGGCCCCTCTGTTGGGCCCTGTGCCCCCAGAAACATCCTCACCCACAACCCCCTGCTGTGCACCCTGCCCGGAGGGGGCAGGAGGGGGTGAGCTGGGGAGGCCTCTGCAAGACCCTCCCGCGGAGGCTGCACGGGGACCGTGCCCGCCCCTCCCAAGGCTCCTCCCTGCCCATCTGGGTGCCCGGAGGAGCCGGGCTGGAGGGGTGGCGTGTCCACCCTCTGATCCAGTGGACTCAGGCTGCTGGCCGGGGGAGGTGGGGGACAGGGGGGGGGCGTCACCATGAGCCTCAGGCGGGCACCCACAATGCGGACCGTCCATGGACCTGAGGCCAGAGGACCTGGCTGTGGGTCACGTGGGCCTCCCTGGGGACTGAGGCTGGAAACGGGCGGGCGGGCAGATGGCCCAGGGGCTGGAGGTCCGGCGCCCTGCGGTGTGACCCCGGGTGACATGGGTGACACGGACTGGGTGCTGGGGACGCGGGGCCCTGGGGGTGAGGGGCCGGGTGCAGGGAGGACGGGCCGGAACCCTCGCTCCTGAGGGACAAGATTCCCGCACTTAGTGGGGCCACGCGGCCTGTACCCGCGGCCTGCCACCCGCTTCCAGTGCCGCTCCCGAGCGGGATGCCCCGGCTGCCGCCTGGCCCGACCGCCCCATCCGGGCCCAGAACCCTCGAGGACGCGGCCGGTCACTTCCGGCCGGGACCGGAAGTGTCTGCGAACGGCGCCCGCCTTGCGCTACGACACACTTGAGGCCAAAGGGGCCGCTGTCCTCACGGCCTCCGGTAGGGGGCGTTGGTGCCTCGGGAACAAGACTAGGACCGTTAGATCTCGCAGTCCCCACCCCTAACCCCCTTTAATCAATTCCGGGTTCTTTTCGCGAACCAGTGACGCCATTTCCGGGGATGGGTGGGTCGGCAAGAGAGCGCATGAGTAACGATCACTTGTCCCGATAGGCCTCGGGAGGAAAGCCCCAGTGTCTTGTGGGAGATGTAGTTCACCGGGCACAGCAGCTGCGGCGCTCGGCCGGCGAAGGACTCGGTTTCCCAGAGGGCCGAGCACGACGCAAGATGGAGACGGCCGGGCCGCTGTAAGCCGCAGGTTTGTGATGAGCGCGGGCGGCGGCGCGGGCCCGTAGCACCTCGCGGGGGCCTCTTCGAATCCCAGGCTTCCAGCCTGGCCCTTGGGTCCGCGACTCTCTGAGGCCCGGGCCGTGGGCCCGGAACCCAGGCCTCCGGAGGGGCGCCTGCTGCGCACGGGCGGCTGGGGCCCACCCCCGGGGAAGCCGGGCTCTGCCTCCAGCGGGGAGCGGTGCCCCGGAGCCGGGGTCCGGCTCCCCGTCCCCAGCCCCGCGGCCCGGACGCGGCGCCGCCCTCGGAGCTCCCCGGTTCTCGGAGACCCCCGTCCCGGCTGTCCCGCCGACCGGCCGCTCTCCGGGCCCAGCGGACAGCGCGGGGCGTGCTCCTTCCCGGGGAACCCCGGGGATGGGGCCTCGGGGTGCTGGGCTTGTGCAGGGGCGCTCCGCCCGGGCCGCCTGGCCTGGGGTGAGGGGGGCGGGCCCAGCCGGGACAGGGGTGGGGGCCCGGGGGCAGGAGAGGCGCCCCCGGAAGTCGCTCCAGGAGCCGCAGGGACTCGCCTGCGCCCAGCGGGGCTCCTGCAGGTGCTGGTCGGCGCCCTGTTTCCCGAGCGGGACCGTCCGATGCCCAGGACGTGACCGCAGACCCCTCGGGAGCTAGCAGGGCAGCTCCCCGCACGCACAGGAGCCCCTGTCCTGCTGGCCTGGCAGGGGCCGCGCCCGTGGGGAGGGTCCGAGCGGAGCCCGGGCCGCTTGCTGCACCGCCGCCCCCGGAGACCCCTTCCTCCTGCATTTGGACTTAGCTTTTGGGTCTGGGGGTGCTGCGGCCAGGATGGGGGCTGAGGTGGGGCAGGCCAGCCCTCCCCTGGCCTGTGGGTGCTGAGTGAGGTGGCGGGTGGGAGGCACCACTACCTGGCCTCTGCCGCTCACTGGTCATGGTACCAGCCCCAGGTCATGGCACCAGCGCACACCCACTCCCCACTCACCCCCAGCCCAACCTCTTTGTATTCACTGTCCGGTCTGACTGGGCCGTCCCTCCCCTCCCTCAGCCTCCTGGGTGTGAAGAGCCTCGCAGGGGACTTGGGTGTTGAGGACACAGCCCACAGGACTGGGGCATCTGCACCCGGCACTGGGAAGGTGAGGAAAGGGTGTGCTGGGAGGGCGCTGGGCGGGGCTGTGAGCCGGGCCTCACGCTGTCTGGGTCTAGGTGTGCTGCGGCCGGACACATGGCTGAGGTGGGGGCCGGCGAGGCCTCCCCGGGCCTGGAGGTGGAGCAGGGGACGGAGTACGATGTCCTGCCTCCGCCCACCGTCTCCCTCAGCGACTCCGACTCGGACTCCGACCTCAGCTGGCCAGGCAGCGCCCCTCTGGAGGCTCTGTCCCCAGAGCTGCCGCCTGGGGAGATCCAGGGGCACTCGGGCCCCGACAGCTCCCCCTCGCCGCCCAGGGGCCCCCCCGAGGCCGCCGTGCAGCCTTTCCGCCTGCGGGGCACCAGCAGCACCTTCTCCCAGCGCAGCCAGAGCATCTTCGACTGCCTGGAGGGGGCGGCCGGGCGGGCAGTGCCCTCCGCCGGCCAGGCGGGCCTGGGGGACGGTGCGGGCTTCAAGCAGCCCCGGGCGCCCCCCAGCCGGCCCCTAGCAGAGGGCCTGGGCAGAGCCCGGCAGAGCCTCGTGCCCCCCCGGGTACCCCCCGTGCCCGACTACGTGGCCCACCCCGAGCGCTGGACCAGGTACAGCCTGGAGGACACGGCCGAGGCCAGCGAGCAGAGCAACCGGGCGGCCGCCCTGGACTTCCTGGGCTCCCGGCGTGGGGCTGCGCCCAGTGCCTACGAGCCCTCCTTCAACCAGGACCCGTCCAGCAGCGGCGAGGGCCGGGTGGTCTTCTGCAGGCCGCCGCGCGCCGAGGCCCGGCCCGAGAGGAAGAGGGGCCAGCCGGAGGCGGGGCCCCCGGGCCGGGCCGAAGGCACCGTGGAGCTGGCCCACCTGGCCAGGCCCGGGAGCCCCGAGGCCGAGGAGTGGGGGGGCCCCCATGGGGGCCTGCAGGAGGTGGACATGCCCGAGGGGGCCCCCCCTGGCAGGCCGGTGGCAGGCCCCCCGGCGGTGGAGACGGTCGGCTTCCACGGCAGCAGGAAGCGGAGTAGAGACCACTTCCGGAGCCAGAGCACGGCCCCCGAGGCCCCCGGGGCTGACGGCTGACGGCGCAGGCCCGCAGGAGCCAGGCGGGCAGCCTGTGGCTGGCGCCGTGGCCTGGTTGGGCTCAGGCAGCCGTCTTGGGCAGGGACCTTGCCAAGGGGACTGGAAGCTGGGCCGTGGGGCCGTGGAGGAACAATAAAGGTTTTGGGCTTTACTCTGGCTCCGTGTCGCTCTAGACCCTCCCCCTCGCAGGCCGGGACCTCTGCTCTCTAGCTCCCCCAGCGCCACTCCCACACGAGCCTCCTGACAGCATCACGGCTCCCACACGAGCCTCTAATAAGGTCACGGCCCTGCGTTCAGCAGCAGCAGGTCTTACCCAGGGACTGAGGGGCTGGCCCTCGCCTCGCATGGGGGGGCGGGGAGCCTTGACCCCCAACCCGCAGGTCAGGAAGCCTCTCCCACAGCACATGGTCCACAGCTGGGCCACCCGTATGCCTCCCGGGCCCTCGGGTCTGGCTGCAGCCCAGGTGTGGCCTGTTCTCCCAGGTAGAGCAGCCTGCAGGCGGGGAGCTGCTGGGGGGATGGGGGTGGGACGGACATGGCAAGCACGCACACGCGTGTTGAGAGCTGGCACTCTAGTCACACCACGTCAGAGTGGTTAGTTTATTGGGCGACAGGTTGTGGGGGGTCGGTGTGGGCCCCGAGACAGGAGGTGGACGGGGCTTGGCGAGCGAACACTGTCCTGGCGCAGGCCAGCCGGCCGGCTCAGGCTCCAGCAGGTGCTGGGCAGGCATGAGGGGTCCCTTTCGGTGAAGCCATTGGGAGCAGCGGGGGCACAGTGTGGGTTGGACCTGGGGTAACTAAGGCCACAGGGCTGGGCCTAGGGCTCTGGGAGGGCTGTGTGCTGACGTCCGAGGGGCTCAGGTGTCCGAGGGCGGCGGGCCCGGCTCTGGGTGGCCTCTGCCCCCCCGGCCCCCTCCGCGCTCAGCGGGGGCCTGCCGGCTCCCCACGGCCACGTTCCAGGAGTCTGGGGGCAGGAGGAGGGCTGCTCACTGCGGGGCCGGGGAGGGAGAGGCGGCCGCCGGGGAGCCTGGGACCTGCCCCCCCCCAGGCCTGAGACCACCCTCAGGCCTGGCTGGTCAGGGGCTTGGCCAGGGCCATCCGGGGCAGGACAGGTCCCACCAGGCAGGGCAGGACAGTGGCCTCCCAACACACTTACTGTGCTGGCCACTGCCCGGGGGCAGCCTGTCGGCCACGGAGGCCAGGAGCACCGTGCAGTAGTTGACCTGCAGAGGGAGAGGCGTCAGGGGAGCCCCAGGCCCCTCCCCACCCTCTCCTGCCAGGACCCCTGCTGCAGGCGCAGGGAGGGGGTGGAGGGTGAGGCTCCGGGTGTGCAGGGTGGACAGGCCCCTCCAGGGAGGGCGCCCTGCTCTCAGTGACAGCTGGCAGGGGGGTGCTGAGCCCAGCCGGGTGCGGCTTAGCCGGAGGGGCAGGGTCTGGTTGGCCGCCCACCTGTGACTCCAGGCCCCGGATGCGCTTCTCCTGCTCTCTCAGCCCCCCGAGCTGCTTGGCTATGACCTCCACCCTGTGGAAAGCAGGGGCACCAGCCACCGTTGGCCACGGGGCCTCCGAGTCGGGGCTCTCCGTCCCCCCTCGTCCTGCCGCCCAGGCCTTAGGGTGGGCCGGGGTCGCTGAGGCCTCTGCCCCTCGCCTCCGCGCTGCTGCGCCCTCCCCGGGCAGGACCGTCCCGCCCGCTGGCACAGGCACCGAGGGCTCAGGACGGGTGCACCACCTGGGACCCCAGAGCGGGGAGGACACCACACGTACTGGCCCTTGGCCCCCGAGTACGGGGCAGGCAAGGCCCAGAAGAGCCCTGTTCGGGGCCAGGAGGCGGGTGCTGGGCCCTCAAGACCCGGCATAGCCGAGCCTCAGGCAGCCTCGGTGCCCAGCTCCTCCGAGTGCAGAGGCCACGGCTCCAGGCGGCCCGCACCTGTGGGCGGTCCTGCGCAGCACCTCGGCCTCGCTGTCCCGCCGGCTCCGCTCCAGCCTGCTCAGGTAGCTCTCCTTCTGCACCGCCTCCCACGTCACCATCTTCTGGTCCAGGGGCTCCGGCAGGTCTCTCTCTGGAAGCGGCAGGTGGGCCTCGGAGCAGTGCCGGAAGGCAGGGAGCCGGGGTGCTCAGCCCCAGCCCTCCCACCCCCCCTCCCGCCATCAGTGCAGCCGCCGGTCGGACACAGTGCCCCTCCCTCCTGCCCGTCCGCCAGGCGGCCTCACCCAGGCGCGCCCGCTTCTGCCCCGCCTCCTTGCGGAAGGCCCTCTGCAGCGCCAGGCCCAGGTGGCTGAGCAGGATGAAGGGCGGGGCCAGGGCGGGGCGCTCCTGGTACTCCACAATGAGGTGGTAGCGCTGGAACCGCCAGAACGTGTCCGCGTTGCCCTGCACCATCTGGAAGGTGGAGCTGCAGGCCCGGAGCGAGGGGACCCTCAGAGCCTGGCCCCTCCTCCTCGGCTCCCCCATGGTTCTGGGGGGAGTCTGACATGGGGGCACTCTTCAGGGGGCTTCCACTGACCCTGCTGTCCCCCAACACCTCCATGCCCTCAGCCTTCGAAGGCCCCAGCCCTGCTGGTGTGGGGGTGACCTCCCCGTGGGGCCCAGGTCCGGGGTGACCTCCCAGTGGGGCCCTGGTCCGGTGTGACCTCCCCTGGGGGCCCAGGCCCAGGATGACCTCTCCCGGGGCCCAGATTCGGGGTGACCTCCCCGTGGGGCCCAGGTCCGGGTGACCTCTCCCGGGGTCCCGGTCCGGGGTGACCTCCCCCGGGGTCCCGGTCCGGGGTGACCTCCCGCCCCCCATGGGGCGCAGGCCGGGCCGGCACCTGAACATGGCGATGAGCAGGTTCATGAGCAGCACGTTGGTGACCAGCAGGAAGGTGACGAGCAGCAGGATGACCAGCCAGTTGGCATAGAGGTTGGGGCAGGCGGGGGAGCCCTCGGGCATCAGCGGGTGGGCCGAGCAGTTCACCCGGGCCTCTGAAAGGGGGGCTGCTGGCAGGCGGCTGCTTTCTGGTGCCGCCCCCGGGGGTGAGGGCATGGCAGGGTGACCCCCACCCGGCGCTCCGAAGTCCCCATCACGGGACACCCCAGGCCAGCTGGCGGCCACGGGGAGGGCATAGGCCCTGGGGGCGGAGGCCCGGTGTCTGCTCCGGGTGAATGCGCCCCCCCCCCCGTTCCTGTGCTCGGTCCCCCAGGCTCTGCCCGAGCCACGGGAGGGGAGCTGGCAGGGCAGTCCCTGGGGCAAGACTTCCCAGGGCTTTTCTGACACCGATTCCGTCTGGGGAGCACACCTAGGACAGGCCGCCGCCCGCCCTGGCCCCAGCCCAGCCCTCGGCACAGGAGGGCGGCCCGGGGGGTCCCAGGTGCTCAGGTCCCTCCCTCGTGGGGAGCCCGTGGGGAGGCGTGCTCAGCCTGCAGGACCGAGGAGCTGTTGGCAGGCGACACGGAGGTCCGTGTGCCGTGTCCCCACCACTGGGCACGCATGTGCCATGCCTTCCTCACTGTGTCCCTCTCGCCTCCCCCGGGTGACCCGGGCAGCACAGCGACCTCCCTCCGCTGCCTCTCCCAGCCGGTTCCCAGGGGGCTGTGTTGGTGAAGCTGTAAACCTCAGCAGCCCCGGTAATGAGACCGGAGCTTCCTGCTCACCCGGCACCGCCTGGCCGGGCTGCAAATTAACTCCTCTGGTCACAGCCCAGCAGGCCCCTCCCGCCTGGGGGAGAGCAGGGAGGCCGCCGGGCCTCGGTTTCCCTCCGGCCCTCCTGTCACCGCAGCCTGGCGGGCTCAGCGGGGCGGCAGCCCAGATCCGGGCCCTCCGTGCGGGTCTGCCCGCCCAGCACGGCGGCCGGTCAGGCCTCGGGAGGGCTCGGACCCTCGGAGGCTCAGGCCCTGGGCCTCCCAGGGGCCCCATGCCACACCACTCCCCCGGACCAGCCTGCCGGGCCCGGCGGCCAGGGATGTGGTCTCGGGCTGGAGTGCCCCACCTCACACTGGAGGCCCCTTGCTCCCCTCCTGCCTGGGGTCGCGGCGCCCTCCCCAGCCGGGCCACGGCGAGGGCAGCGCTCTGAGCTAATGGCCTGGAAAACCAGGCTGAGGGTGAGCAAACACAGGAGGCGCAGGGCTGGGAAAGCAGCCCGCAGAGCCGGCCTTGGCGCCGGCTGGGGGCACGGCCATGGCGGCCCCCTTCCTGCCCCTGTGGCTCCGTCAGGCGCCGTCCTCCGGGCAAATATTTACCCGCGGTCCCGCCTCATTAGCTGGTGAGGGTGAGCCTCTGCGACCCAGTGACTGCCCAGGAGCGCCCGGGGCTGTGTGCCCACCTCTCCCCTCCCCCCAGACTGCCACCCACCCCCGGCCGTGCTGCTGTCCCGTCCCACCCGCCTCTCCTGCCGCTCACAGCCGGCAGCTGGCTCCTCACCTGGTCCCTGTTGTGGGAATTGCTCAGAGCTCACCCTGGCCCCGCCAGGCACAGGGCAGCCTCCCCCGCCCCCCAGGGAAGGCGCACAGTGGGGGCCTGGGACAGGGACCCTGGGAGGGGAAGGCGCACAGTGGGGGGCCTGGGACAGGGACCCTGGGAGGGGAAGGCGCACAGTGGGGGGCCTGGGACAGGGACCCTGGGAGGGGAAGGCGCACAGTGGGGGGCCTGGGACAGGGACCCTGGGAGGGGAAGGCGCACAGTGGGGGCCTGGGCCGGGCCGGGGCCTGGGTGGGGAGGTGACAGGAGACTCGCTGCCCAGCGGGTTGTGCAGGAGGGCGGAGGCCCAGGGGCGTGGGGCCGGCCAGCGGAGCCCAGACCCCGGCCATGGTCAGGGCGGATGGGGGCGGCCCCGGCCCCTCCAGCCTCCGGGTGCCTGTGTCCAGCCCAGGCCTGAGGTCGGCCGTGCCGCCTGGGGGTGTGCAGGGCCGGGGCTGCCCAGGAAGGCCCTGTTCGACGCTCCGGGCTGGTCTCAGGAGGAGCCTTGGTCACTGCCCTGCAGGGTCCCACCGAGGCCGCCCCGGTGCCACCCCAGTGCCCGCCCCGGCCTGCTGACCGTCGATCTCGTCCAGGGGGATCTGCCCGAAGATCTGCAGGTAGGGCCGGTAGAGCACCCGGCGGAACACCCACTCCAGGCGCCCGTCGTGTGGGTGCAGCAGCGCCTGGGTGGCCACGCCGTAGGCCACCAGCCACACAC